TTTTTAGTATCCTACCTAATGCATTTATATTCTTTTTCTATTCCGGGAATAGAAATTTGGTACAGTTACTAAATACGTTTTTTTGCTCAGAAACTCGTCTAGATAATAGAAATAAAAAAAAATTATTTCTGAATAGAAATTATTTCTAAGAATAAAAACGTTACTAAACAGATTCTTAAATGGGTCAAACAGTCACGATATGAACGTGCGAAAGAAAGAATAAAAGATAAACGAATCTGAACCCCGTCAGCTTCGGCACACTGAATTACCATTGGAATTCCATGGGCTCAAACAGGAGTTTCGCTGTTCTAAAACGATAGGCTGCTTCTCAATTCAATGTGCTCCCCATGTTTTAGTTCCAAATTAATCCAAAAAAGCAACAAAAAAAAACCTTTGGCAAAAAGAAAGATGTGAGAACCCCAAAAGAAAAAAATGAAAAATCAGTTCCAACGAGCTTCTTATTCATGGCAAGTATTAGTGATTTGCATAATGAATTCTTGGCAATTACAAAACATATAGCTTTTTTATTTGGAAAGCTACGTGATTTACTTGACGTGAATACGTATTAAATCATGTCTGTACATCGGTCGATCATATTGTATCGCATCATCATATTTTAAGTTCCTTTCGTACTTCATACGGCGTCTCATTCCTCGCAAAAAGAAATCGGCGTTAACAAGCAATACAAGTTGACGGAGGGAAAGTAATCCTTTTTCAAAATCTTATTTTGTGATCGAAGATTCGATCAATCAGGGCATGCATACGTATGTTTGATCCTTATATAAAGCAACTAAGAAAACGAGATGTATTATACATTTCGCTAGATGTCTCTAAAACTTCAGTTTTCCAAATTCCATAACTTCTCATACCTAAGACACGTGCCAGTCGTATACATGAAAACGACAATACTTATGTAAAGTTGATCGAGTGTTAACTTCGAAAACACGAAAAATGAGGGTAGTCTCTCAAGCGGAGGAACGAATGAGTTCAATTGTTGCTTTGGTGGGAGAAGTGCGTGTCCCAGGGGTGGGTGGATCTGTTAATTCTTTTTTATTATTTTATAGATGATACTTTCAAAAGGGATAAGAAGAGAGATTAAAATAAGATTTCTAGTTATAATACAAAAGAATCTTATCAAGAGTGTCAAATCTATCGATAAACCATATCTATATCAACAAATAAGTATTTAATTTAACTTATCGGTCCTATATAAGACGAAAAAAATTAATAATTTCACGGAATAATCTTCTCTTACTTCGATGTTTATTTTGTGACTTAAGGATATGTATTAGCAAAAATTCAACAGAATATCATATATAGCAATGCGATTATAGCCGGATCAAGGGGCGCTCTTGATCATGCCTCAACCACGGGCATCTTGTACCGCTATTGAGGAGGAGCAGTAGAAGTTGGAGATTATCAAGAGAAAAATTTTACGTCGAATTTATTAATAAGTTATTTGTATGTACGCTCATTTTAAAATTTGAAGTTGATAAGTCATGTATGAATCTATTAAGATATATAAGATAATCCGCATCATATAGATTGCGGGGTGGAACTTTACGTAACACCCTTAATTTCTCAATTAATTGATCGCTAACGTGTCATGATTAAAGAAGATAAAATCATAAAACTTAAAGAGACAGTTTTGAATAGAAAAAAAAAAAAAGGAACCCACAATCACATGACTTTCCGAAAAACGACAACCTGGGTACGAAGAAAAGTCAAGGAATGGCGCAAACAATGTATCGACACCTGGCGACACGTGGTGCTCAGCCGCTCATTGGTTTGGGATTACAATGTGCCCCCATTCCCCCTGAAATTGGACCCCAGAAGAGTCGCGATGGAAAACGGCGGTTCGTGCAGGTTTTCGACTGGTGAGCTGTCCAACCAGATAGGTCGTTTGCCTGCCGAACCTCCGAGGAATCATTTTCAATTTCCATATATTATCCTGCTTTTTCTTAGTATTCTTTTTATTTATTTTATAAAAAGGTGCTTAGTCTTACCCACTTGCTGCGATTATGAAAGTGACACCCCCAGATTATCTTTCTTAAAGTTCATAATTACATTAGAGATTTTCTTTAGGTGCGCCTCTTACGATTCTAATTTAGTAGAATTGACCTCTCCCATTGCAAGAAAAAGTTTCTTGTATTTTCTCCATAGAGTAGCAAAAAATCGTATAATAACGTATAAGTGCTCGAGAGACATTGCTTTTAATTTTAGTATGATAACATGATCCAAAGTTACTCCTATTTTAGCTAGTAGACGTAGATTTTTGTTGTTAATATACATTTTAGAAAACATCGTGTTTGTGAATTTTGGTTTTTATACAAATGAGTTACTCAATACTTCGACAATTCCTTTTATTTATACCTTCTACAACTAATAATGCGCTAAAATGATATTATATTTATGCTAAAATGTTTCGTACTTGGTTTTAATAATTTTTGTATGATAAGTCGCGCAATGCGGGGGTCAACGCCTAGGCATTGATAAAAAAGAGAACCTTCCCATTATTGTCTTTTGTTTTGCCGTAGCCGATTTTTCTTTGAAAGCTCATGCATCGATCCTACAGAGCGAAGGTATACAAAGGCGGCTACGAGTCAACATTTGGAGGAAAGGTCTCCATCTCGAACTAGAAGTTCTAAAGCTTAACCATGCCGCAATGTGGCAGTGACGGCTTATTCTCCATACTGAGTTTGAAGTTTTCAATGATGGAGTTGCTAACCGGAAAAGTAAAGTTCAGCCAATGTCGGATTCTAATACTCTAGTTCTGCGGTCAATAATGATAGAATAATCATCTCATTCTTATTCAAAAAATGTGCAGCAATAGAGTAAATGATTATTCTAGAAAAAACATTTGAGATTTGGAAAACACTATATGTGCGCATGGGGCCTTATTAATGAGCGCGACGTACTTAATAAGGAATACTTTAATTTCCAAAGTGTTAATTACGTACGGTACGAATAAAGCAAGTGTATGGAAAAATTGCAAACTAATGATCGGTACGAGACTTCTAGTATCTCCCATGCTTATTTATTGAATTTTATGATATGGTCTCTGAACATTTTCCCTTTCAACCTAACTTGAGATATGATATAAGTTATGTGAATGCTTCGAGATATTTATCGATCACTTGCATCGACGGAAAAGGAGTTGATACTTTGTAAATTAAAAGTTCACTGATTAATTATATATTAAGAGTCCCTCACAAGAACTTGGTAGTTCTTTTGCTCTAATGTATTTTTTCTGGTTGGCCACTTGTATTGCTGCATTTCGTAGCTTAGGAACATGGAAGGCCCTAGTAAGCCCTCACAAGTACGTGCCATGTCAAAAACAAGAAGAAAAGAACAAATTAATGATAATTTGCCGGATTGGAGGGTAAAAGGCCGGTCGACAAAAGACGGAAACAAGGAAAAAAGCATTTCAAAATTAGGACCATTATTATATGCCAACTTTTCGCAAATTGCAATTGCTAATGACGTGATGGGGCCCACGCAGACCGTGTCCAGAGCATGTTAGTTTTCGAACACAACAAATCCAAGGCAAGGCAAGTTGGGGCGGGCACATTGTATTTTTCCCTCGTACGTGGCGGGCTCGCAGGTATCTCCGGATTCCGTTGGCCAATTGGCGCCAATCTCGGCGCCTAACATGAATTGAAGGAATCCCCCCCCGGCCCTCCATTTCATCCCCAGCGCGCGTTCACTACACCGCCCAAATTAGAAGAGTCTAATCAAATTAATTAGTCTGTAATACAATAATGGCGTTTTAAATCGATGCTCCGACTTGTCTAAAGCTGTAGGGGAGCATATTGGCGTCCGCTAATCGTTTTGTTGTCATGGCTCATAGCTGATTTAGCAACTGTTTTCTAGCTCAGCTCTGAACGCATTACTCACTTAACAAATTGATAAACCGAGCACGATTTGCATGATTGGCTTGATTAAATATAGTCAAATTAGATTACAATATAATTTTATAGAAATTGCAGTGCATTAATAATTGGTAAAATTGAGAAAAATCTAGATAAACCGAGCGTGATTCGCATAATCGACTTGATTAAATAAGTCGAAGTAGATCGGTTCGATTATAATATAATTTTTATAGAAAATTTGGTGCAACGATAATTAGTCAAATTGAGAAAAATCTAAATAAATACAAACCAATAAAGCCAATGTAAATTTAATCGAGTAATTATTAAGTTGACACAATCCATAAAAATAGGGCAAGCAAGTCTATATTAAATCATACAAGTTGAATAAGTCCTTTTTTTGAATCTTGTCAAACAAGTCAGACAAAGGGTTTATGACATTTTGCTTTTTGTTTGATTAAACTCTCGTGGCTCGTGCATCTTGACTTTTTTTTCACATTCAAAACTCTTGAACTTTCACAATATCAAAATATTGACACTTGAATGCATAAATTTCTTTTGTAATGGTTTGAAATTTGAATAACAATTTAGAGTTTGATGAGAAAGCAAAAAGATATTTCGAACTTTTACAGGTTCGAAATTATTACTTGGACGTAATCAACACCAACCCAAATTCGTGAATTTGGTGTCGTATCGGAATTTACCATCTTCATTTAGGCCGTTTGAAGTTTTCTATCAAACCTTAAATGCCTTAGTAAATCTAACAGCTGAAAGCATGAGATTTGAATGGCGTCATAATTTCTTCACATGAGGCGAGTTAACCTTTTTGCCCGACGTAATTTCGTACCCGACAGACAGCGACACGGGTCCTTAGGGACCCACCTTCCTTATCGAGCAAGCGTCGCGTGAATCACACGCGCTATGGAGGGCGCGTGATCAATGAAAAAATCCGGATTGGGACGCGGAAAGCGAAACCCTAACCACGTTCGGTTTCGCGCTCCATCCAAAAACAAACGAACCCAATGCAGTTACTGCACCAACGCCCGAATCCAAAACGGGGCCGCAACTTCACGTAAATTACGAACGTGCCACTCCTTCTTCTCGACCCCCTTTATATACCCTGCTTTCTTCGCGCTGCAGTTTAATTTGCCAAATTGAAAGCTCAACCCTCGCTCAAGAAAAAGAAAAAGAAAAAAAAGAGAACCTTTAAGCTTCTTCTTCTTCTTCTTCTTCTTCTTCACTGAGTTCCTTCCTTACTGGTGCAACAATGGCGTCCTCGTCGAGAAGCAGATCCAGGGGCCACCTCTGCTCCACGTTCCACGCCTCATCCCCGTCGATCGCTTGCTCCTCGTCCTCGGGCTTCGCTTCGTCGAGCTCGGGCTTCGCCGCGCGATCGTCCACCTTCTTCTCCCGCGGCGCCTCCCCGCCGCGCGTGCGGATGTCCGGGCAGCACTCGAGCCAGTCGTCCCCGTCCGTCCGCTTCTCGATCGACCGGCCCACGTCCCCCGGCCGCTCGATCTCCGTCAGGAACCACATCGGCGGCGGCGGGGCTAGGGCGTCGACCGTGCCGAACCAGAAGAAGACGTGCATGTGCTCTCCGACGACGCATCCCGGGTCGTTCCGGTGCTCGCTGCACAAGAACTCGAGATCCAACGCCCAGCATCACTCCGCGCCGTACAATTCGAGCAGGAGCTTGAATTTCAGGAGATCGGCGATGACGAATTCGCTGGTGAGGATTGGCGGAGTGGAAGGCGACCTGGTGAAGAGAGCGCTCGCTGCTTTGATTAGGCCTTCTTCGCATCAACTCAGGCGCCGAGCCGATTTCAAGCCGAGGCCGAGCCGGCTGTCGACCATGTCCAGAGCCGAGGATTCCTGAATCTTTTTTTCCCAGTGGATCGAAGCGAAAAAATTTTCTAATCTTTTTTGGCATTGAGTCTGTGGCAGAAAGTAACCGACGTAAGGGTTTCTGCTAGTTTTTTTCTTTTTTTATATTGAATTCGATCCCGTATTAGAGGGGATCAAATCAGTAAAGATCGCGGCTTTTTGCTGTAAATAGACGAGAACATGGCGAGTTTTTGGTGTTAATGTGAAGGGACGACGAAAAGAAATTGTCCCTTTTACTTTCACTGGTCCGTAGAGATATTGAATACAAACTGTGACGATTCATCGGAGTTGATTTAGCCGCTGATCTGCACGTAAAGATGGTATCGGGGTAAGACATTGTTGCGCTGTACATATACTGTCGCGTGTGTTTCTGTAAAGGACGAGACTGCAATCTCGTTCTTGAACTGATACTACATTGAAAACCGGAAACAGAGTGTGAGATCTTCGATGTTGTAATTACAGAACAAGGGGCAATTTTCCTTTGGTTTTTTGACCTTGGATAGTCCTCTCTAATGAAATTCAATTGGGTTTAGTTTAAAAGTGCGTTCTCGGTTAAGCGTGAGAAATATTCGTTAACGAGATCTAAGTATCTAACACTCCGTCAGGGAAGTTCCTGTACCTGTTCCAGCAGAGGGGGACAATCTTGCAGGTTTGTTTGAGAAAGTGGATGGCCGTGTTAATCCGGGGGGACATGGCTACACAGATGACATTAAATTAGGGGCTTTGCCTTGTGCTTTGTGTCTTCTGACATATGCTTTTGTAACAAGAGAATCGGCCTCATGACGACCCTATTCATAGCATTACATTGACGAATAAGCCTGTCTGGGAAAAAATCTGCACCGGACCAAGTTGAAATCAGGCTCTACCATAGCCGTCCCATTTCACCTCCCTCTGGATTCCACTGCCTAAAGAATTCGCCTTGGATTGACTGATTGTGGTCTCATGATCTTGTGCATGATTTGATCAGATGGCCATCTTTATTAGCACGAGATGGTAAAGAATAAACTTCTGCTTTTGCAGACGTAAAGAAAGAAAATTCAGGAGATTTCAACTGCAATCCATGCTTGAATCTGAGATATTGTTCATGAGAGATGATTAATTTTGAATGTTGGGAGGTTTTTAAGAATTTCTGTAACAGTTTAGGACATTGGGGGTGAGTGGTTCCAGGTTTCTTACAGGTTCCACCTGGAACCTAGAACTTACCCTCGGATATAGGTTTTAGGGTCTAACAGGTTCTTTTTTTTACTTTCATGTTTAGTTAAACAAAACGAAAATGAACGTAACAATATTGAACAAGCTTATCATTCACCAAAGAGAATATAAAAGACTAGTTTTCCTGGCATTACGGTACAAATAAATACAATCAAAATGAGAATTCATTGCGTAAATCGATACTAGAGGTGAGCGGTTTCATATTTCATATAGGTTTCACCTGGAACCCACCCATGATAATAGGTTCATCAATTTTTGGAACTTGGAACCTACTATATCACAGGTTTGAGGGTCGGTTATAGGGTCTACCTAGGTTCCACCTGTATCATTAATTGGACAATTGTAGTGAATCATCATCTTTAATGATCACCACTTGTTGTTATGATCCACTAACCACAACTTTTATTTAAACACACGAAAAATATAAAACATTAACAAGTCATAAAATGAAAGCTCAGACTAGTGGTTCTAGATTATACACTCATCATCTAACGCCGTAAAACACCACAATTGCAAGTTCCAGGTTCGAGATTCTAGGTACCACCGTCAAAATAGGTTCTCCAATTTTTAGAACCTGGAATCTACTCTACATACCTTGTAACTTGGAACCTACAGGTTCCCACCAGTCAGGTTCTCAGGTTTCGGGTTCTATCCCGGAACCGTGCTCGCCCCTAACAAACATCAAACCGTAGATAAAAGTTTGAAGGTGAAACTAATAGCGACTTTGCTGTATGTACAGCACAACTTCACTAGTGAGATGGGCACTTTCATTTTTCAGTTCGCACCACTTGACATGAGCCCAAATTGACTATGTTCTGTATTGAGACATCAGAAATGAATCGGGCCTATACATTTGAAGGCCCTGAAGAGCATTCCTTTCGTTACTAGAATTATGTCATCCCTGTTCAATTTCTCAAGAGACCCTCAGCTTCTACAAAGACAACTTAATTTAAGTGCATCGTGTTTATTAGATTCGCCATCCCACGAAAAGAGGGTGCGCTTATACGAGCACTTTCCACAACACAGATGTTTGGTGCAGTAATTGACTCTGTTCAATATTGTGTACCGCAGATTTAGCAACAAAAAAAAAATATTGTGTACCGCAGCCGACCGTGTTTCCGAAACAAAGATATCTGTGGTCCTAAAGTAAAGTTAACGCGTCGGAGAAAGTAAAAGATCTGTTAGAAGACTACATGGTTTGCTGTGCAGTGAAGAGTAAGTATGTCCATTTGGACAAGCTATAGCTATGCTCCGTTAATAGGACATGGATTGCAAAGCAGCCTGCACTTTTTATTCTGAGCTTGGATTCGCTTTTGTAGGCTTTCTGTTATGGCCAAACCCACATTGGCTCTTTGTCATAGAGAGAGAAACTATAAGTCCACATCCCAATGCAAGCATCTGAATGGAAGTATTTATGTTAAGTAGCTGTATTTTGGTATTCTGTAGCCGATAAATAGAAGATTATTCCGGTTTGTTTGGTTTGTTGTTTAGAATCCTCTAACGACGCGGTCCGAGGAGGGTGGGCAGTGGTCACCGGGGCTTGAGGGCCTGGACAAGGAGCAGCTTCTGACAGGCTTTGAGCAAATTGTACATTGAACAAGGGGAGAGCGATTTTGATATATGTGTGTGTGTGTGAAAACTGGAATTCATTCACGGAGGCGCTTTTTGATGTAATAGCAATACTTAGTTTTGAAACTCCAAAGTTAAGCGTGCTCAGGTGGAAGCACCCCTATGATGGGTGACCTCGTGGGAAGGTGCCCATTTGTACGCCAAAGGATAAAACTATGAGGCTCGGTAAGGGACATGTCAAAACGGACAATACTTCGGTGAGTTAATCTAGGGATGTCACATTATAAGGCAACCTAATCTTAATAGGGAACCATATTCCTAACAATAAAAAAACTACGCTATAATCACATATTTACTCCCCGATTTTCAATCAATTATGTTCTTCCTAGTTAATTAACTCGAGTATAATGCAATAACAAGCAGGGACTGTCTTTTGAAGGGCTCAAGCTCAAACCAATTTAGTATTATGTGCCACACAAGGCTATGTCCTTATTACCACTATTATGCCAATTCGAATATAGAACTAATAGGGGATGCAGAAATTGGAGAAAACTTGGCATCATCTGAAACTCAGAACTTTGCAGTGAGAAAGCATGACAAATCACCTACTGCTCTGTTCTGTCTTGCACATAGCTAGCGATATGATTTACACATAAAAAGCAGGGGAGACAATCTGATAGCTGATACAGAAGCTTAAATGATGAATTATGTGCACTCCCTCACGACCCCTGCACTCGAGAGAGAGAGAGAGAGAACACAAGGGATGTGAGCAAGCTAATCTGAAACACACAGGAACACACTATTAATTACCGAGACTCCTTTTTGGTGGAAGAACCAAAACCCATCTCTCACCAACTATATTAACATAAAACCCATCTTCAAAAGAGGGAAAAGTAATAGAAACATTGAATTTACCAAAATCTGCAAGACCTTCATGTCGGTTTCAAATCTTGGAACATTGTATCCCACCTGATCTCCTCAACACCATTTGACCAATACCCATCATCGACATCCGCTTTGTCCTCTTTGCTGAATGCATAGACCACTGGATAATCAATTGAGGCACTTCCATTTGTGAGAAGCAGCCTTGGTGGCTTACTATTAGCATTGACCAAAGTCTGCTTCCTATTTCTCTTCAACATCGCACCTCTCCATTTAGTGCTGTAAGTAGGCCTTGGAACCACAACAAGTGCTGATTTCTCCTGATGAACCCATGTGCGGACGTACTTGGTTAGATACCTCTTGGTCCTCTTGATCGCTGCAAGGAACCTCGAGATGGGCCGCGGCGAGAATCTTGATGACGACCCTTTGTCTTTCCTTGCAATCTTGAGGATTTCGAGCCTGTGCTTGGCTATGGAGATTCCCATGCTCTGTAGGAACTCATGGTCGAAGTAGCTTATGTCTTCTTCTTCCAGCTCGTTGTTGGCAAAAGCAAGGCCGTACTCATATACAAGTGAAGGGTCAAGGCCTGTTTTGGATAGCCAAGAGAACCAGTCCATGGCTGATATGAGCAAAAGAGAAACAAGGGCTAATGTTACTGGAAAGGCTGCTATATAGTAGAGAACCGGCAGGGGAGGGGGTGAATTTGCTGGGGAGTTCCGATCATTTGTTTTTTGAGGAATAGATTTGGTTTTATTGATTGAATTTGGATATTAGTTGAGACTTGAGAGTGACTTGAGAAAAAGAAAAGTGTGTGGGGTATTGTTCATAGTCATGTTCCCTCCAAAAACAGGTCATGTGTTGTCAAACTCCTTAGGAGTGAGGCCTACGAAAATCCTCACTGAAATCCAATTGCCCATCAATTATGGCAATGTGAAAAGAAAGGATCAAAAGAGCAAAAGAACAACTTGGTGGGTCTCCCCAATTATACTAGCTTGTCTCATGGATATTTCCGGGTATGTGTGGACTGAATGGGCTGAAGACTTCAAATTATGACCCGCCAAATGGGTGTGACTTGTCTGAGGGGTATATTTAGTATTTGCAGATATTACTTCAATGTGTCAATACCCGTCTGTCTGTGTCTCATGATGTTCAGTCTAAATTTTAACACAAGTGCAGGGCATATTCACTTCTGAATCAGCCTGAATACCGAATATTAAATCTCGAACTTGTTAGCCACGCATGCAATTATTGTCAGCAGAGAGATAAGCTTTCTTCTTTTCTTAATTCGACCCTCGATATATATCCAGGTTCAAGGTACCCTTTTCTGCTACCAAGCTTTTGTCAAGAGTCATTGGGTATTTCGAGTATGATTGATTCATGAAGAAGTTTGGAGATGTGTCAGGCATATTGGTCACCGACCAATTTGTGGAAGCTTTTTTTTCTTTTGCAAAGATTGATATCGGCCCCGGATTGACTCTTTTTGTAGATTGAGAATCTACTTTCTGAAAGGGAATGGAAGGTTGAGAATAATTAGGATAATAGTATAATGCAACGGGGTTTGTTTTAAATAGGAGGATTATTGCATCAGTTCATATCAGTTCCACCATCACTAGCACTAACTACTCGTACTCAGGAGACTTTTCTAAATCAGTGGCCTGTGAATTTAGAATACGTATTCAACTGCACAATATTGATATTGGTGTGTTGATCTGTCTATTATGGGCGAGTCATCCGTACTTTAATAATTATTCTTTCCATAGTATAATAAGAAACCATAAAAAGAAAAGGCTGAGCATGGCTTGTACTCGGTCAAAAGTTGATAAAGAACTTGCCGTCTACAACTTTTTTGAGGCTGAAATACTTGACCATGTCTTTGGAAATTTCCGAGAAAACCCAGTTTTGATTAAGACTTTCCAAGCGTCTGGTCTTTGTTAATCTATTCTCAGTTTCGACTCCGACAAATCCTTGTCTAGAAAAAGCTCGTGAGGCAGTAAAGGCATCGCTAACGGCGGTAGGCAGCAGCAGCAACAACAAGAGTATTCCTTTATGAACATCTTTCAATTTAAAGATACTCAGATGGGTTTGAATGGAACAGGACTAACTAGACCAGTAACACTAGCATAGCCTTAGCATTGCTAGTATCGACTTGATGGACTAAAACCGAGTACACATCTTCAATCAACTTGAAGCCTACACTGAATTATGCGGAAACGTATAGGCATCTCATCAAATTAATGATTCCTAACTAGTATCAACCGTCGTATTTGTGATAACCCAAGTCTAAATGATGTCTTCTTCTCTTTGTCAGAATCTCAAGCACTTGCTTTATCTCAATACTGAAGATTGATGGGGATTTTGTTTTGGTCCCTTGTTTCTTTTTGTTCTTATATAATTGTAGCAAGCTGTCAGTCAATTCTATACTCCATTACTAACTGCTTTTGTCACTTGGAAGCATCGAAGCCCCGTGCCCTTTGTCCTCAATTTTGCCTACAGGCATTCACATGGCTCTATCAACTTAGGTTTTGGACTTTAAAAGGGCCTTCACGTGACTAGACCCTCATGGTACTATTCCCATGTGAAGAGCTGCGTCCTCTTCAACACATTTATTGCGTCCCTTTTATAATTGGAGTCTTATCCAAAGCAAGTAAATGGGACAATTCGCGCGCATCGCCCCGTGTTGTTAAAAGAGAGAAAACTAGACGTGAACAAAACCCCAAATCGATTCTTCGAAGAGAAAAGCTTTTGCCCCGACAATCTCATCCTCATGGATCGAGTCAGACATCTTCACAAACTAATCGCATCCATGACATCAATGACATAAACTTTTGTAGGTTTTTCTGTCAGCCCGACGAGTAAATGAGTCTACTTGTCTATTCCTTCGTCCGACCAAAACCAAGATTGACGTCTTCACATTTGAAAATGAGTAGCCATATGAGAGTCCACCACGTATGCAAAAAGCTGAAAAGATCCACGAGAGGTTGAGTTTGGGCGTAATGACCGGTGCAGCAAGCCAACAACTCCGACATAATAATCTTTGTATCAGTGTCTATTTGCTTTTTCCCTTTCCTGTGGTACGTGTTAAATTATTTATCATCGTTTGACTCCACGGTGGAGACATACTACTAACTTTTTAAACAAAGATAAAATGAAATAAAAAATAAAATGCTCGAGGAAATACTAGTGATATCGGTGAGAGTAATCATCACCATGACTGTGCAAAGAGTTCTTTAGTGGGAGCAATCACCATCCCAACCAAACCAACTCCGATAATTCTAACTGAACAATGCGTGGAAGTTGTTAACGGTCATTATAAAGATCGTTTTCTCTAGCATTTGCCCACCACCCCCCCCCCCCCCCCCCTCCCAATGCATGCGTGTGTGAAATTAAGTAAGATTCAGAAATTTGTATATGATCATTACAGAGATTTGAGATGAAAGTGGAATAATAATTGACATTAAAACATCATCTCTTCCAGCCCTTAAAACTCACAAAAGAAGCAATCTGATCTCTTGGGCATGCCGTGAGCCATATATATCATGCCAGGGACTGGATCAGTGTGTCACTTTCATTCATCCTGCTTGAGAATCAGTCATGATATGGATACGGAGGAATGCAATAGTAGCTGAGATACTCTCTGGTGTGATATGAATACGAAGGATGAACCTTCCACGATCAAACGGAACAATGTAGGTAAATTTTATTCACTTAGTCTCTCAGTTATGCGAACTAGTTATTCATAGCTCTTCCGCAATGGTGCTTTGAAACGTTTAAGATCCGAATCATGGAAACGAAACGCCCCACAAGTTTCCTCGTCTTTCCCGAGGGCGTCAGTTTGAAGCCACGGGGATCACTAACTTGAAAGAACAGGACTTCAGGATCCAATCGTCTGGCTCATTCATTTCCAGCGAACCTTCAAGAGCGTCCATTGCTGTACCTGTGCGTACGAAATACAAACAGCATATGATTTGCCTACGGCAAGTCCACGTCAGGGAATGACCGGACCACTCAGTGACGGGCGCATATCATTTAAGTGAAGCTCACGAGTGACATTGTAACTCCACTATGTCGCCGACTCGATGTTAGCTTTTGCCAAAAAGCCAACAAATCTTGGCATCCTTACTGGATTTTAGACGTACATCATTCAAAGGCAATGAAGCATCATGGGCATTTAAGGATGTTGAAGACTGCTCTTTAAACAGTTTTCATAAGGAAATAATACCAGATAATCACATAACAACGTCTCTTGGAAAGAGCGTTAAAAACCCACGCTTAGGAAGCTTATCTACATTTCCTTTCGCACAGGAACATAGTAGTGCAAAAGAAAGCTTCACGTGGAGCATAGATAACCTAGAAGCATCCCACACAAGCCTTGAGGTACTCAAGCCACGCATGAGTCCAACTCCGGCCTGCAAATATTTACAGTTTCCTGGCGGTCCCTCGCCACCAATGTATCACAATCCCATATTTACATCATCATCCTTCCACTTCACAGCAATTATCTACAAGGAAGAGAGCTATTCAGGTCGGAAGCTTACGAGGTTGGGGAGATCAGTTGATTGAAGCTTCTTGATGTCAACCCCAGTCAACTTGCAACTCTCCAATGTCAGTGACCTTAAATTCTTCAGTGTCTTCAGATGCCGCAGTCCAGCACTTGTCACGCGAGAATTAGACACATTCAACGACACTAGTCCAGTCAATCCTGCAATCACACAAAAACATTATTAATAGAGTGTGGAGAATCAACTCAACATATCATCCAAGGATATATTTGAGTTGCAGTATCCCACTCTCGCCTAACTATGATCCATAGAACCACAGATTTATCTCAGAGAAGCTAAAATAAGTCCATGTATATGTAACTCAGCAAGCATATTTCTCCCAATAAAAAATTATTGACCAGAATAAACTCAATCTACTAGCATATACCAGTTTCAATTGAAATTTCAGTAAATAATGTTCACTTCACTTCCACTGAATTCTAGATTCTACCATATCCCTTAAAATACTACGCCACTATTACAGTTTTTACTCGTTTCTAAAACTTGCGATTTATTAACTTACAGCCGATAGTTCTATGCACAAAGCACATTCAAAGCTCAACTGAGCACAAAGGTCGTGTTATTCAAGTTAATGGACATTAAATCTGGATGATCTCGAGTTTATATTCTTTTCACAAAGCAGGGGTCAGGGAGTACCAGAAACCAATTCCAGGGTCTTGTCCGTCAAATTGCAGTTCTGCGATAAGTTTAGGAGAGTGAGAGAAGAAAGATCTTTGATATTCTTCATGCCTGCATCAGTCAATCCCCCACCACATATTTCCAGGGACTGGAGTTTCTTTAAGTCTGAGTCAATAAGCACAAATGGCAAGGTATCACAAACTATGTAGAAGTATCAGTCAACACTCAAAATAGCATCCATTGACCAGAATATACACAGGAAAGGTCCATGACGTAGCAAGGAAGTTGAGCTGTTGATACCCAGAATGCATAGATTCTAATACATTTAATTAAATCTGTTTATAGATAAGGTTTCCCAATCAGCGGCATGACAAACACTACTGCTCAAATTTGAGGTATCTGTTTCATAATTAGAACCATCTTCACTATCAATATTTCTCAAGTATCATGGTTCACAGGTCCATATATGCATGCCAGTATCACAGCATGACCATAATTGCATGCTTTATTTAAAAAAAAGAAGTGCTTCTACCAGATTGTGTTTTTACTACCAGATAAGTTCATCATACACACTTGGTAAGGAAAAAGAAGAAACCCCACAATTAGATAGGAACATACTTCGCAGGTAGGTGGTTCCAGAATCAGTGATGCGAGCTCCAAAAAGATCGAGGTGAGTCAATCCAGTCAAACCTGCATTAGTAAACTCAATGACATAGAAATCAGTAAACCATAGAAATCGTGAAGTGTCGTACAAATCATGGTTCAGCAAGTTCAGAAGGACAAAGCAATTCTTGAAAAGCTTGGAAAAATATAGGCTGTTAAGACAACTCCGTCTGTCCAAAGTATAATTAGCTAAAGGTAAAACAGCAAGTACAATGCAAAGCAGCAGTCAGAACAAGCGAATGCACGTTTATAACAAACAATTAAACACATACACCCGCGCTAGCTCTTCACAGTTTACTCAGTAGATTGTTTAGCAAGATACAGAGTCCAAGCAATCACAACCCCCAACCCATAGACAACATCTATCCTATAAAATAATCCAAACTTGGCTCAAGGAGAATTAAATAAAGTCTAACATTAGAATAGTAAAAAAAACTTGCCAGTAAGGGCAGCAAGTCCAGCGTCCGTGATTTGGCGAGCATCCAAATTAAGTGATGTAAGGGCAGAAAGTCCAGAAAGTTTTCTTAAACCTCCATCCGTAACTGCAGTGAAGGACAAATTGATGCTCTCTAGATTGGTCAGACCTACACAAGGAAGATATACAAATTTGACGTGAGTAAACTTCAAGTAAATTAACTATAATGAATTTCTAATATTCAACAGCAACCAGAGAAGAAATCACCTCATCCGTCATAATGAATTGTAATAAATTAATCGGCGGTACCTGATTTTTTTTGCAAGACAGACCATGGAGAAAGCACGAGCATTTTCATGGGTAGAAAGACTAAGAATGACAAACTTATATAATAAAGCACTTCGATCAGTCAAGAGATCAGGGTCAGGAACCTAAGGCCTAAGTAGAGATGCAAAATGACGCAGCATCCTAGTGAAACACCTTAAACTTCAAGTCATTGTTGTTAGGGAGATGTGAATTGCAGGCCTCACAAATGAAGAACGCTCCATAATAAAGCTTATTTCAATCTCAGTTCAAATAGGCTAAATTTTATTGCCCCTCCTAAATCCAAACAAACTAGATTTAGTTCAAATTTGACCATTGCCCTATATGGAAGGATACAGGGGAAATGAATAGTCTCTCTTAATTTATGGAATGATTAGCTCCACTTTCAAAGAAACAGTCAACAATAATGCCTAAAAGGCACAAGCTGACCTCTTCCATTGTTCTTATATGCCAAAAAAACAAAATAACTCTACCGATAAGAGCACAAAAAAGAATGAAAATCCAACAAGAGAAAAAATTCAGTAAGACAAAGTTGAGATTGTTATCTTTTAATTTCCTAGAATACATAAGCAACTGAGACAGATCAGAAAAAGAATGCTCAATACAATCATGCAACACTAAAGAAAATGTACAAAGTACTCAGACAAGTCATCTATTATACACGACCCCAAAAAAAAAAAAAAGTCATCTATCATTTATCAAATTGACTTCAGATATAGGCAATTGCCTCACCTGACAGATGATGGAGCCCATTGCTCCCGACCTCAGTATCGGACAACTCCAAGCATTTCAAACGCCTAAGGTCTACAGAAACACAATTCACAGTGCAAAGTTCAGCAACGAGGCTTTTCATAAAAGCATGAACAGAAAGTACAACAAAAAGGACATACATGAAATACCAGGTTAAGAAGGGTAAATGAATAAAATTCAACATTGATTTCAATTATACATGAACCGAAGCAATCCAAATGAGATTAAGGAACTTTGGGGCTTTAACTCTACATCATCCAGCATAAAGATGTATATGCAATGCAATAGAAACAAAAAAATCACAGGTTGAATGATTAAACCAGGATAAAAGTGTATTATCACTTCAATAAAAACAATAAATCACAGGTTGAATGATTAAACCAGAATAAAGATGTATGTCACTCCAATATGGTGAACGCTATCCCTAAACATGACACATGAAATTGAACGACACTGACTTTTGTTGAACTGCTTATCCTATTTTGAAGGAAGTGGGGTTTTGGTGGTGGTTTTTTTTTTTTTTTTGGTTGGGGGGGGGGGTGGGTGTTCACTCCTGGGGATTCTATGAGACCGCCAAGGCAACTGTGCCAGTGAAGTTCACTTCAGTAATGCAGAGATTTCGAGGGAAAAAGAGCATAAAAAAATATCTACCTGCCAAATTAACCAGACCTCCATCACCGATTCTGCAAGAATCTAAGTTCAAGCTCTCCAAATTTCTCAACCCTGCTTTAGCAAAATAAATTATTAGATGTAGTGTACAGACCACATAAGAACCTATGCTAACTGCAGAAGACAAACTTTTTTAGCAAGTAAAAGATAAAAACGGCTTTAAATACAGAGCATAATCAGAATACTATCTAATAAAAACAGTATACAGTACATAACAGACAAAAGTAGTGGCAACTCTACAAATGAAATTGCCCTATAACACTACCATAATGTACATTGACCACAAACTTTAAGTCTTTACGTGCAGCTTTTGAACAAGAGACTGCAAAAATACGATAATTCCCAATCAAAGCTAAAAGACAGCATTAAACAAACAAGAATGATCTCCACACATGGTCAGCCACTAATGTAAGAGATTTCGCATATACATCTCTTATACCAGCAACACTGATAGAGATTTCTAGAAAAAAACTTCACACTTTTGAATTGTACAAAGGGAAATGAAGTACCTCTCAGGTGCACCAAGCAAGCATCTGTGATATCATTGAAACCCAAGCTCAACACCTTCAAATTACCAAGTCCTGTGCAGGCAGCAAATGCGGTTACAAAGCGTTCAATATAACTGGCAACGTCATGTAACCAAAATGATGACTCCATGCAACTTACGGGAAAACTTGCCACATCCCTCATCAGTGAGACGGCATCTGTTAAGATTCAGATATAAGAGGGCTGAGAGAGCTGCATGAAAAGAGGCGGTCAGCTTAAAAAGAAAAAAGAAAAAATGAAACGATACTCAGAAGCAGAGAAAGTCCAAATGCAAGGTTTATTATTAGTATGTAAGTTAACCTGTCTGAACTGGGGAATACCTAAAGATGAGTTGAGGACCACTTTGATCATCAAGATTATTAGCTATGGCCAAAACCAACCAGCAAAAATTCGGAAAAAGAAAAGGAATGCTTATTTTCTTCCATATCGTTTACACACTGTTTAACATTTCAATAAAATAAGAAGCATAACCTACCCGATACGAATATTAGTTTTTTTTAATAGATCATCCTTTACCATTCTCATTATAAAAGTCACGCAGCAGTCTCCAGTTTCTTGTAGGGCCATGGGAAATCCATATCCATCCACATCATCCTCTCTCCCTAATGAGTAATTATGATTGGTAAAATTACAGAATTGATAAACTGCAAACCTGCCAAGGAGTCCAAACACGCTGCAGTAACAGGACATCCCTCCAAGTTCAATATAGAAAGCTTATGGAGGCCTGCAATCATAAAATAATCATTGTATGACTTGGGTGTACAGGCGAGGAGGCTCAGCAATAGGAGTACATTAATTAAAGACGGAAGCCAAAGAATACATTAATTAAAGACTGAAGCCAAAGAAGATAGCTCCACAAATAAATTCAGGTAGCTATATGTAAGCAAAAATATCTAGTTAAATCAGAAATATCAACAACTTCTTTGGAGATAAAAACACTGGTTTCAACAAACTTAAAAAAGAAATTATGCTTGAAAATGCAATGGAAAGAAGATTTTGCATTATTTCTCCATTGACAAAATGAATTTTACAAACATTGCCAGAAACCAATCAGTCATGGCTAGCCATGCTTGGCCTAAAAATAACAGACTGAATTTTCCATAAATCCATCCTCAATTCTATACGTTCCATCTTTTCAATCAGTCATTGAGAGCTCTGCACATCTATATTATGTTAAGACATCAGTAAACACAGTGAATTTTGAAGTTGCTCCTCAGGAACCAAAGTCGCATACCGCAGCCTACATACCCTTTGCCTCTGAATAGAGCTTGTAGGTACATCCAAGCATGTAAATATGCTATATCAGCTACCACTCACAACTATGCGAAAAGCACCGGATCTTCTCCAATACAACCAGGTGCAAGGGTGGTTATACGTAAAAGTCAAAAAGTAGGAAGAAGTGGTTTGAATGTGTAACCCAACGCATGCATTGCATATGATTATGCTAAAGCATATAACAGAACTTCATGCTGACGCTTTACTCTTCACATACACTAGATTTGGTCATCAGTTAATTCCATCTGATTAACCAGAATTACCTTTAAGATGCATGATCCCATGATCTGTGATCTTACTGCAAGAAACTTGCAACGATTTCAAGTTTGTAAGGCCTGAAATGTCAGAGACAATTAAGAAGAATTAGTGAAGCACTTCCGCATAATTGCGATAATCTAATGCACGTGTATCACAGTACACATCCATATATGCAATCCAACTCCAAGTTCTTTCTTCTTTGATTTCAAAATTTCAAAATTGACTCATGCGATTATTACGCAACACACACAAAAGGAGAAAGGAACTGTACATAATCGAAAGGGAGACCAATGAGGGTTCACAGCCCATTGAAAATATCAGAGAATAATTTACCATATTATGACAAACAAATCAAAATTAGCTGAACTAGCTATAAAAGTGACCGACCACTATGATTTCAACACAAGGAAGACCTTCACCCAAGTACTAACAGTAACAACATATATAGACATTTCTACAAAACATAAGTACCAGAGAGTGGCCTCATATCAGCATCTGTTATTGAATTGCACCACTTGATATTAAGGGACTCTAACTTCGATAGACCTGCAAGACATTTACCATAGGAACAAGAAAGATGAGAAAAAGAATAGGTCGAATCACATCATGCTTATTCTGAGAAGTCATCAATGATATTCACACCAGACCCAATGAATACTTCAAGTGCACACCTTCAAGATAAATGAGTCCACCATGAATTTTTGGACATCTCTCCAAATCCAACTTCGCCAAATTAACTAAGCCAGCAAAGGCACTCATTCCCTGACTTGTAATTGCATCATTTCTCCTAAAACTTAGAGCAGTCAAGTTTGAGAGGCCTGCAGAATGAAAAGGGTGTCACATTTATCCATGGAGCAGGATCTCCAAGAACTTATATCATTGTGATGCAAGACCAAACCAGAAGGTCCAGGACACAGCCATCCACAGTGTACATTTAGCTGAACAATACCACTAAGAATTATTATTTCCTGGAATGTTCATTCTAAGACGAACTTCAAAGACACAAGCAACTAAAAAGACATGCGCATCAAATAGATTAATAGGCTACAAATGGTATTCATGGCAGTTTAGAAATCATGTGGCATTGAGCTATACTAGTCAAACCACGGAATCATGTTCATACAGTCAGTAGGCAAGTACCAGTTGTGCTTAGCATCCATATGGAACTAGTTGAGTCGCAAGCATGTTACGGTCCTTTGTTGGAACTCCATGGTCATGCATGTGAGATTTACCAGGGATGAGTCTTGAGATCTTCTCTAGATTATTTACTGCATTATGAATGTATCGCATAGAAAATAATACTTCACTTATTTTCATCAACTGTATTGCACTGCCAAGAACCATTTTTCCAGCTTCTATGGGGGCAAAAACAGTCTTCAAAGGACCAAAATAATAAGCATGGAAATTGAAAACAAACACCTAGAGAGAGGGAAACACTGCCAGGGCTTACCACTAAGGAGTTGCACTCCTCGATCTGATATCCGGTCACAGTAATTAAAATTCAAAGATTGAAGGTTTGCGCAATCTTTTAGAAGAGTTACTCCATTGTCAGAAACCTCAGATCCAGAAAGATCAACAGAAAGCAATGATGATCCTTGAGAAGAAATGACATTCAACCACTTGTCATCGACTCCAGGGAGCTCGCCCAAGTGCAAATCCTGTCAAATCCAGCAGAGAGACACATCAATTAGATATCACACGGCATAATAACATCAGCAGAGCAGGACCATTTAGGTATAAACCATGCGGGCCGCATTGTAAGGCATTACCTGGAGAGCACAATCTCGAAATGCTTCGAGAGAAACATCGGTCAGACGCCGAGAAAAGACCAATTCATTGAAGATAAGCTGAGTAATATCCCTTGGTAGCATTGAGAAGGTCCCATACTTTCCAATATCCTGTCGGGAGAGAAATATGTGAAGGGAAGGGAAGGGAACGAAAAAATGTGGAAGGGCACATGAATTGGGCCAACGGAGGAAGCCGCGTTCCACGTCAAAAAATGCGAATTGAAAGTACCTCAGTTATCTTCTGGACACATAAGTCCATAAGAGACGGGCATTTTCCTCTGTCATGCTGCGTATCACTGAAGGAACGAGAAAATGAAGTTAACAGCCACTTTGAACTCGCACTCTTGGAATATCTACCAGATACACCTCCGTGCAGGACATCTTCATCGTCCTGTTGATTCCTCTTCCTAGAACAAGCTCCCCCCATTGAGGAAATTCTCCGCGTCAATACAACATAAGCCTCATGAATAATAGAGCACAGTGCTACCGCAATCCGTTGTATCGCCCAAAATGAAAAGGCATTTATTATCCCCTGTAGAGTATAAAAGAGACATCACAGCATGACAAGTCAGCCCAAACAATCAGCTCACAGCAATTGTCCTGAGAATTATCAGGCGCCAACAATGAAGTATTCAACCATGAAATAAAACGGCCCGTCGCTCAGAACAACAAAATGCAGCGGACATGCCCCTCAAGAAAAGCTGCATTTTATTACATGAACACCCATCACATGTACCAACTTGCAATGACCATATAAGGAGAAAATGAACGTTCAGCTTGTGATAGTGGCAGTCCAAGAGCGCATAGTCCCTGAAAGGAAAACTACTGCAAAGACTCGATCTCATCACTCTCTTCAAGGCCACATATAGGATCAATACGAGGGGAAATGAAAGATTACCCCCTTTTTTTTTTTTAACAAGGAAATGAATGATTACTCTGCTTGTATTGGCATGCATTCTTAGTAAGTTACATAAAACTCCCAAATAGAGGGCTCGGCCAAACAGGGGCAAAGGAAAGAAGAGACCAAATAACCATTCCCAGTCTGACCAATAGACATTGGGAAAAAAGGTGAAGTTCCAAAACAAACCCATCGACTGCAAATTTTGCATATGCATACGCGGATTACACAGATATAACAGAATCTCCCTCCGCAGCATAAACCCTGGATAAACCAGAACCCTTTTTCTTCTTCTTTTTCAAATACCACTAAAAGGGGGAGCCATAAAGCAAATTGGCCTCGGTGAGGTGAATCAAAATCGCCTTTCTTTTTTCATTTTTACCGGCTAACGAGGCACTTACACCGTTTTGCCGGCATCTCAAACTTTTTCCACGACTTTAACTCGTGAGGAGGAGCGACTTTTGGGAAGAAAGGAACGAAAAGTCGTTCGCAACCGCGGAAGAAATTCGAGTGAAAAGAACACGAAGGCGGCCAAGCGAGCGCCCAAAAAAGCCAGTTTGAACTAAGGTAAAGCAGCACAGCGTAAAAAACGATAAAGCAAACAAACAGAGAAGTCGAAATTTATTAAAAAGCCAAAAAGAAGAAGAAGACAACGATAAACTCACGATCATCTAAGGCTGCAATGGAACCATAAAACAAGAAACAAAAAAAGAACACGTCCTCACTATACGGCAAAATCTGCTCCTTCGATCATGGTTCTCCGACACCTCAATCCTCCAAACCGCGACGAAAGAGAGCATCGCCGGCGTCATCCTACGCTAAAACTACACCTTTCGAACAAGCGAAGTGAGAGAGAAAAGAGAAAGAGATAGAGCATCGCCATCGATCGATACCTCATCGCGATCACGATGATCGAACTCAGCGCCGGACCTCCATCGACGGCGAGAGAGAGAGGAAGAGAGAGAGAGAGAGAGAGGAGGAGCTCGTCGAGAGAAGAGTGAGGGCTGAGGAAGAAGGGAAGTACCACCAACTGCGTATGCCCCAGTTCTCTAGCTTCGGGGGAGCTCCGAAGCAAAGGACGAGCGCCACGCGGAGCTCGGAACCAGTGCCAGTGAGGGAGTGGGGGCCAGGCTCGGAGTTCCGGAGATGGAGATAAGGGTGGGCGAGCCCGGGCCCCACATTCCGGGGGCATCGTTTTCGTCCCCGCCTTTGCTTTATCCACGGGGCTTACACGTGGGCCCCACAATCCTTCGCCCCTTGCCGGATTATGCACGCAAGATTTTGCGTGACTTACTTAAATTAATGAACGAATTCAACCAAAATTGCGGCCTAAATCTAATGATGCGTGATTTAATTAGTGTACAGTTTGTCCCGCACCATTCAATAATTTCAATGAATAAACCCGATTGTTTGTTTAATTTAATCGGGCAACGCGGGTCGTACGAGACGGCCGTGTCGCAAAATCTGCGTGCCGCCCATAAGTACCATTTGTCCGCCACCGATCACTGACGTTTCGCGAGCGGCACGAGTCTGGGTGGCTTTGTCGTTCCCTTTTCCACCGTGAGCTCTTTCTTCCTTTGAAGCGAGCATCCAATTGATGGGAAGAAAAAGGGAAAAGGACATGGAAATTCCATCACCCATCAATCCGTATGACAAAATTGAAAATGGGTTGTTGATCACGTAAGCTACCGCAATATCTGGTACGTAATAAATAACGAGAATTCGGGAAGTCGCGAGATTTGAAATCGGCGGGTTTTGGATGTAAATGGGTCGTTCTTTTCTGGTTTAAGACGGGGGATTTTCGATTTGGTTAAATTTTTAGAGGTGACGATTGGATATTTTGAGCAGATGTTAATGTTCTGAAAGAAACTCTTCAACCTGATCCGCAGTGGCCGAGATATGTTTCTTTCCCTATGATGAAGGACAGGGTAGGCGAGAGTTGGGCGTAGCTCCAGTAGTGCAGTCAATGCGCATACTTAAAAGCTCAGTGAGCATTACCATTTCCCTCACTCCTCATCCATTTGTTTACTTGTGTTTCAGAAACCCTCACAACACGGCATGGGTTAAATGTGTGGCGAAGAAACGTTCGCTTCCAGCCATGTCGACGTGGAGGAGGACGACGAAATGGGAAAAGGATGATGAGAGATTGCTTGTTCGATACAACGTCCTAAAAGTCAAAAGTGTTGTTTCTGGGATGGAGCCGATCTTGTCGATTGTGCTCGGAGTTGAAGTCTTTCTTCTTCTTTGTGGATCGTCCACTGGAATTGCACTATCTTGAAACCATGGATCGGAAACCCATGACCATGATTCTCTCCACAAGTGCATGTATTGACCGGTTGGTTCGCTTCCTGTGAGTAATGATGGTCTCAACCACCCAACTTCTTTTCCCCCTTAATGTAAGAATCACATGAATAAGTTGACACCCTCAAATTACCTCTGTAAAAGTGAATCACTTTGGCAGATGATGACAACCGAAACTACTGAACCCAGTACATCTATTGTGGATTCATAGATCTAAGTTGTCCCAAAATACTGATCCTCACCGAATTCCCTCACAGCCAAAAGCCATAGAAGAATTTACAGTATAGACCAAAATCATATGGTCCTCATTTGTCACTACAGCAAGTGATTTGGGCAAGCGATGCGATTTGAAGCATATTGTCTGCAGTTCAACCTGCCCATAAGCCACCAATCGACAACCTCTGGATTGGTTGACTGATCTTAAGATTTGTGCTTCCTGACCGAGACAATTCCAGAAACAAAAGACGAGTAACAAGTGATGCACAAGGAAGTGCCGAATTTTAGGTGGCCTGAAATTCCATGCCATTTTTGAGCTAAAAAATGAATGCTTTCTGCTGCTATGCAACTGAGCAATCACCCGCCATCATCAAATTCATTGGCAAGAGAGTGAAACTTGAAAGCAGCACAGCACGATATTTAGTTAAAGCTATTTTGGAAATCAAGCCGCCACTGCACTTTAAAACTCTTGTCTTAAAGATGATTTTGCTGGCACTTTAACACTCTGAAGCATGATCCTATTGGAAAGTTATGCTAGCAAACAGAAGTATAGGAGAGTCCACCTTCAAGAACCGATTCAACAATTATCCACAGTTTACCTATTAAGAGCTTATTTCTGTTTACCTTCCCCACTCCAGCTTTGCCAAATTGATGACCTCCTTAATGATCCTCAAAATGCAAAAGCAGCTTTGGGAAATACATAGAGTTATGGATGAGGTTATGAATCGGTGCGAGAACCAAATACAGAAGGAAAGTCATCAGAAGTAGTGAATTCTCAGGATTTTTATTTTAAACTGCATCTGAAAGGCGAAGCAAGAATTACCTTTCCAATAGAGACAAACGACAGTGCAAAATCCTACATGCATAATCAATTGTAGACGAGATCTACTCATTATTTTTTCATAAATCTGCCATGACCAAATGCTAGATACAAAACCACAATTGAAACAGTGACCACGAGATTAACCACTAGATATATTCCAATCAATTAATGAATGCTCACACTGCATTTCTTCTGCTGAAATCCCATATTCTGGGTAGGGATATTATAGCCAGAAGGTCACAAATACGTAAGAGACTAGATCATACCTACACCAACCGAAGCACAATAACTGAGGCTTTTACACCGCATTATCAATCAGTCAGGCAACTTCCTCGACCGGAAAACTGCAAACTTGTTGACATTTGAATAAGAATACCTTACACCATTCTCCTCCAAGAACCCTTCGATCAATTTCTTATCCCTCTCTGGCTCAGCGCTCTCACATTCAATCTCGTAACTCGTCCCGAAATCATATAGAGTCTCATCAAGCTCCAATTTCAATCCCTTCCAATCATACACCGCCCTCACATTCCTAAATCCACCCAGACACGCCAACCCCTTCACATTATAATCTTCCCTCACTCTCTTGATTATATCCGATGAACCAAACAACAAAAGGCGCCCTGGTTCGTCGACACACGCGCGGCCCACAGAAGGGTCTACCGATTCTTCCTGCTCCTCGACGCGGCTGATGCCGCTCGAGATAACAGGTTTGGCCTTGAGGGAGAGGACGCAGCGGGAATCGAGGTCATAAAACCGGAGGCGCAGTGCGGCGAGGTTCTTGACAAGCTCCGAGCCCTCGCCGTCAAAGAAGATGTTCTCTTGGGCCAGGGTTCTGACGTGGAAGGGGGAGAGGGCGTCCGAGAGCTTCTGGTGAGCGGTGGAGTCCGGGAGGCGGAGCTTGATCTCCACCTCCATGGGAGCAGCGGAGCTCTTAGGGTTTGGAAACGATGCTTGGCTGGTGGTGCTGAAACGGAGGGGGCGTGTCAAGTTCTTGTTTTGGTGGGTCTTCCTCCATTTTCCCACCAACCCAACAAGGGAGGAAGGAGCTGAGACTGATAGAGCTATGGTGGCGGGTGAAAATTGATAGCAAACTGAGGCAGAGAACTTGAGAGCAATAGCGTACCGGGGAGAGATAAACCGGCCAAATGAGTCAACTTGAAGGATTGTTTCTGATATTCATGGGCAAATTCAGAATGTGGGTGTTAGAATTGGGAGATTTTTAACTCAATAGAAGCGCGACTCGATGAGTATGACATCAAAAGTAGTCAAATTTCTGCAATTCACCTGAACTTTTCAGCATCAGGCCGAACAGCGAACAGGCTTGAGGGACGTCAATGCATTGAGGGCGATGTCCAAATCTAGAGGACAGCGTTCTGATGGGTGGTGGTGAGTTTTGCCACACGATTGCTATCTGCTTGCTCTCTTCGGCAGATTCTCTGCAAGCATATTCGAAGTCGACTACGCGCGTGTCGTCTTTCTAGGAGACTAGAAGGATACGGACGGTGTTCGTAGCGAGTGGCGGGAGAAAATCAGAGAGCACACGGGAAGAAGACTGGCTGCTGATCGAGTGATTTGATTACATGTTTACGCGATACAAAAATGTAAGATAATGATACAAATAGTTATTGAATTTCGGCTCAATATGTAATATGATTAATGAACTTTTAATTAATTCAATGCCGTTCCTAAACTTTAACTCAATATGCTTTGCAGTCCTTAAATTTTTAATTTGTTCAATAGAATCCCTGAATTTTTTGTACATGTTCAAATTAATCCATAAACTATATGAACGGATAATATTGAATATTTTCATATAATCCAAGGACTAGTTTAAATATGCATCAAATATTTAGAGGCCAAATTGAATTAATTAAAGGTTTGGGTACACATTGCACATTGAGTTAAAGTTTAGAAATCATTTATGTCATTTTTCCTAAAAATATTATTTTAGTATTATTATGACAAATTAACATGAATTGATGTGTTAATGCGAAGATACATGAATTAATGCGTTAATGCGAAGATTTAGAGAAAAGAAGCGGTTTACGATGAGAAAAAAAGAAGCGCCGGCGGACAACAATGTGGGATGCATTGCAAAATATAAATATTTTCTATTTTATTTTCCGATGCAATCAGAAAACTTGGCGGCAAGTTACCGGGTCGGTCTCATAATATCGGTCGGTTCACGAATCATAGAGTATTCGGGTTCGGATCTCCATCCTCCAAAATCCAATCCCTCTCTCCCCACTCGCTCTCGCAGAGGGTCGCCGCCTCCACCGGTCCCGGAGCAGCTGTCGCCGCCGCCGCTCCGCTCTCCTGCTCCGCCATCGAAGCGATTCGCCGGGCTCTGCCAATAACTCTAGGTACCATCTCCTCAATCCGCTTGCTCTTCTTCAAAGGACAAGTTGTTCAACCGGTTCTATAGCTCCGGCCATCGTTGCCCGAGTAACATCAGATTAGGGTTTCGCGCACTTCTGCGCCGGAGGATCTCGACAGTGCTTTTAGCATGTCCATCGCCGCAGGAGGTTCCGCAGTCATGGAGGAGGAAGACGATTACGTCGAGTACGTCCCCGTCGCCAAGCGCAGGGCGCTGGAAGCTCAAAAGATCCTCCAGCGCAAGGGCAACTCTTCTTCCCTCGAGGAAGACCACGAGAAGGCGAAGCTGGCGGAAGCCAAACCTAGCCTTCTGGTGAAGGCGACGCAGCTGAAGCGGGACCAACCCGAGATTAGCCCCACGGAGCAAATGGTGCAGCAAGAGAAGGAGATGATCGAGCACTTATCCGATCGCAAGACCTTGATGTCGGTGCGCGAGTTGGCGAAGGGAATTACTTACAGCGAACCGCTGTTGACAGGCTGGAAGCCGCCGCTCCCGATTCGGAGGATGTCGAGAAAGCAGTGCGATTTGATTCGGAAGCAGTGGCATATTATTGTTGATGGAGAGGATATTCTGCCACCAATAAAGAATTTTAAGGATATGAGGTTTCCAGACCCTATTTTGAAGAAGTTGAAAGAGAAGGGAATCGTGCAGCCCACTCCAATTCAGGTGCAGGGTCTTCCCGTGGTCTTAGCGGGGAGAGATATGATAGGGATTGCATTCACGGGGTCAGGGAAGACTCTGGTTTTCGTGTTGCCAATGATCATGATTGCTCTTCAGGAGGAGATTATGATGCCCATCGTACACGGTGAGGGACCATTCGGATTGGTTGTCTGCCCTTCAAGAGAGCTCGCGAGACAGACATATGAAGTTGTAGAGCAGTTTTTGGTTCCAATGAGAGAGGCCGGTTATCCAGAGTTGAGGGCTCTGCTTTGTATTGGTGGAGTGGATATGCGGTCGCAGGTGGAGGTTGTGAGGAAGGGAGTGCACATTGTTGTTGCCACTCCTGGTAGATTGAAGGATATGCTGGCAAAGAAAAAGATGAGCCTTGACAATTGCAGGTCAAATCCATTAGTTCATCCTTATATACCTTTTGAACCTATACACTGGTTTCCACAACATCTGGCTTTCTCTTAATAATTCTATCTGCAACTTTTGGTGTATGATCATGCATTGGCAAGTTGTTTGGTTTGCTATTGGTAGGAAGTTATTAGTGGACAGCAGACTTGAAAGTTGAAACTGCCAAGTACTAATTGTTATCCCAAGTCTGAAGCAACTACATCGAATCTTCAATAACTAATGAATCTGCATTGAAAAAACTCGATAGTGCTTAATTCAAGCACATTTGTGTTCTTTGTGCTTTATGTTTTTGCTTGAGTTCTATGCGCGCCATTTGGATTCTAATGACCAATGCTAATAGTGTGGCATGGGACGTTGATTGAGATTGCTTTTTGAGTTTTTATTTTTGCCTCTTTTGTCCTGAGGCTATGGAACTTCACCAAACTGAATATTCTTCATTTGAACTTTTTCCTAAATTGGCCTCAATCTTGATTTTCTATTTATGCACTTTTGTTGTAAAAAAATTGAACTTATTTTGTGGGGACACTATACTGATCTGTTGCTTTCTGCAGGTACCTTACTTTAGATGAGGCTGACAGATTGGTGGACTTGGGATTTGAAGATGATATAAGGGAGGTGTTCGACCACTTCAAAGCTCAACGTCAAACACTCCTCTTTTCTGCCACTATGCCTACCAAAATACAGAATTTTGCAAGAAGTGCTTTGGTGAAGCCCGTCACTGTCAATGTGGGAAGAGCAGGTGCTGCAAATCTTGATGTCATTCAGGAGGTCGAGTATGTCAAACAGGAGGCGAAAATCGTTTACCTTCTCGAGTGCCTCCAGAAAACCCCACCCCCTGTTCTTATATTCTGTGAGAACAAGGCCGATGTGGATGACATTCATGAGTATCTACTTTTAAAAGGAGTTGAAGCAGTATCCATTCATGGTGGCAAAGACCAGGAAGAGAGAGAATATGCTATTTCATCTTTTAAGGCAGGCAAAAAAGATGTTTTGGTTGCCACAGATGTTGCTTCAAAGGGGTTGGACTTTCCTGATATTCAACATGTGATCAACTATGACATGCCTGCAGAGATTGAGAACTATGTTCACAGAATTGGTCGAACAGGTCGATGCGGAAAGACGGGAATTGCTACAACTTTCATAAACAAGAACCAGAGCGAAACTACACTTCTCGATTTAAAGCACCTGTTGCAAGAAGCGAAACAGAGGATTCCTCCTGTGCTGGCTGAGCTGAATGATCCAATGGAAGATATTGAGGCGATTGCTAATGCCAGTGGAGTGAAGGGATGTGCATATTGTGGTGGTCTTGGTCACCGTATCCGTGATTGTCCAAAGTTGGAGCATCAGAAAAGCATGCAAATTGCTAGCTCCAGGAGGGATTACTTTGGATCTGGAGGATACAGAGGGGAAATTTGAGATTTCCAATATTTTTGTATGTATCATCTTGTTTTCTACTTGTTTATCGATCTTGCTATCAGTTGTGCATTGTACGAGTTGATAGATGCTTTGGGGCTGCTTCCCTTCAATGGTAATATGACAGTGTCGTTCATTGGGAAAAGAAGCATTATGGTTTTGAAGTGTCCTCATATTTTTGTAGTACTTGTCATGTACATGTTAGGGATCTCATACTACAATCGTACTTGACATTAACAGTTTTAAATTGTTGAAGATGACTAACAGATTTCAACAGAGTCAATTCATTAAATATTCATGGGATCACATGCATATTTAGCGAATTCATTACCCTTACCTCCTCGAAACTAAAGCAAATGGGTTATTGGCTTTAATGAATTACTATATGCAGTTTATTTGTTTCCTTTAATTAATAGGGTCAGAGTTTCTTTGCAGTTACATTGCATGGGAAATTTTATTTTCTGCAGGGTTCTTTTTCCATGTTATGTATCAGGGCATTGTTGTATAGACTACACTTGTGTACTGTATGACAAACAATGAGCATAAAAAATATCACAATTATATATCTCTGTTTGTTCAAATCTTTCCAAAGCTCTAGAGCTTGAAACCATTTCGACGATATTGTGGATGACACCTCTTTTGTTGGCTTAAGCATCTAAATGGCTTGCGTACAGCTTCGAGAAGCAATTGATGAGGGTTTCCTCTCATCCAAGAATCATGTGTTGCTTCGGCAGGTCGGTATGGTAGTTCTACATTCTTTGCTCAACACAAGCGGATTTGAATACTGGCAGAGAACTAGGGAGAGGCCAGTCCCAGTTCTTCTGATCTCCAAGTCCTGTTTAAATGCCAAAGCAGAAAGTATCGGTGAGAAAGGCATATGATGAGATTTCATATCTAGAAAATGCCGACTTCTCGAGCATTGTTCAATCTGATCACCCAGCAGATTATCTATCTGCAACAATCAATTGGGCAAGAAAATGTCGCTTATTTTAATTTCACCAAGACGAAAGCCTCAATGAAAGAATAGGAATTGTTTCCTTCTAGTTGTGTATGAACTCCTTATGATTGCTTTGTATGAAGTAAGTAGGAGAAGTCCATAAAAGTGGTTTACCTTGGATTTGCTGACAACTGAAGGAGCGGAAGTTCCACGAAACTGGTCTCTAGCATGTAGAGTGCGATCTACGATCCAGAACTGCTCATATATCTCATCTGCCAACCGTCTTCGATCCTTCACAGCCTCAAAGAATGTCCTTTTGAGAGTATTATTTTCTTCTTCAAGAATCTTTAATCGCTCATCGAACACTTTGATTTGAGCAACCCGAATTGCCTGTTCATTCCACCGTAACTCAGTACGTGAATCACTTCGTTGAGGAGTCGATGAACTCCCACCCGCCTCTTTAATAACCAAATCCCCCAAACCAGATGTTGGAGCTTCACTTCTAGGTCCCTCCATGTTGTGTGGCTCTATCTCCTTTCCTACCTCTGCATTGCCGCGTCGAATAGCACAAATTCCATTTCATGGTCAGGAATAATTAATATTTTGTCGCAGCCATATTTGAGATCAAACGATTTGTCATCAACCATCACACGTACCTGTTCTGCCTGAAGGCTTGAAAGGCTTAAACCTTGAGAGATTGTTCCTTGATAATGAGTAGTTCTCTAGCTCAGCTGAAGTCCTCTCCATGCCTTTGTCATCCAAAAGCACCTTCTTCCAAACGCTCAAGGCATACTAGTGCTTTCTTTGCACCAACTTCATCTACAAGCACTGATCTTCGACGACCCACACTGGTCATGATGGTACAAGTGACCGATTGCTACTAAAGTTGGTGTGCATTCCAGGGAACCTTACCACTGAAGATAACTTCATTTTCATGCATTTTCTGTGTACTGCAGAAGATTGTGTTGTGGGGTGGAAATTTCCAAGCGGTTGCAGAAAGCAGAAGTTTGCTATGACTGTGGCTCAACATTATGGGTTGAAAAATGCAGCTTAATTTGACTGTATGCTCCTGAGTCGGTTTCTTCGTGATAAACCCATTGAAGCATATATATATAGCAGCTTTTAATTTAGCTCTTTGCCGTATTCGGCAGGCAAACTTTTGGCTCCATTCAAACAGAGCGTGATACTACGACTCTCGAACTGATTATCATCCCGTCGAATCGCTATTTGTCACGATGGTTCGGCTTCACTTTACCCAACTCTACAGACCGCACTAAAATCCCATGATCCTTCGCTGAAGCAAACACGTATTTAACCATTCTATATGAACAAGTTCAATGTGTCTTAAGCTTCACCAGTGTCCTACATATTTGTGTCGTTTTTCTATCTTCATACAATTTAGCGAAAAAGAAATGAAAAAAAAAGTAGCAAAAACCATCCTCACTTATCGCACCATTACTACTTTTGGGAATACTGCTCCAAAACTAAACATCTTAGACGGAATACAATCAAGAGCTAAACCTTTTCCATTAAATCAATGCAATTCTAAATCTTTAAATGTTTGAATGAAATTGTGATTGTTAGAAATATATAACGATAGATTGTAAATATAAATGAGGCTTATCTTACTAAGGACTAGAGATTCCAAAGGTTATCATACTACATGTTCAATATTTCAGTTAAAAGAGAGTAAATTGTTATATCGTATTAAGACGTGTAAAGTTACCATCATAAGAAAATGTTATTTTGCTAAATATCTTTAGTAAAAGTGTGCATTAATGGAGCAGCATGAAAAAGGCATGAATGGCTCGTCCCCGCCTGACTTGTTTATAGGACCATTTATACATAGTCTCACAAAAATGATCGCATTGTATTCCTCCGGATGAGAAGTCTCGCATCGGAGAATTGGTGTGGTATGGAGTAGTTATTAATATATCCTAGTTGATCTATAACTCATTGACTTAAGCTTTTGAGTAGAAGTGGGTTCAACAAGATATGTTAGTAGGTTTGGACTTAGACTCCCTCTTGACATCTGACCTTTCACTGCTAGTTCTCATTTCCTACTTCAATTTAAAAAAGAAAACACTCATTATATTGCTGTGGTATGTCTAGAGAGATCGTATGATCTCAATGGTACTGCGAATGCGGAGCCGCAGTTCTCCCATCTCTTACCAAACTTTTTACACGCGGCATGCGGCTTAACACCAACTAGTTTGCCACATAAACTAACGTAGGTTATCTCAGCTTCGAAAATGTGTTCCGGAAAAGGCAGCGTACTTGAAAGAATGGGAGGGGTTGGGGGGTGGACGCTCTCGTGTTTACTTCTCTTAGCAGGTCACTGAACCACCACAGACAGGTATGTCAACAAAAACTAGCTTTGAGAAGTTGGAGCAGCTGCATACCTCAGTGTACATCGTGTTGGATGCCGAAATTGCAATCTGTTTACATTTCGCAATACATCTTCGGTCTAGTGAGAGTGACCTATAAATCAGGAGATGTACTCTAGAGAAAAGGCGAAACCATTCGAACTTCCAAGAGGAGAGATGGGCATTCAAATGAAGAAGCACTCGTGGGAGAAGGCTCCGAACCTGTACACCCCACATGTTGCTTAAGCTCTTCTGAGTTTCATGCTTTTGCCTTCTCAGAAGTCGCTTTTGCCAACTCCTTGCTGTTCTGCATATCCTTCTTTTGTTCTGTTTCTCTTACTTGTTCACAACTACAGGAGCATTTAAACAATAAGCTTTGCTCATCTCCAAACATTTCATTTGCATCAGTTCAAAAGACAAAGAAGGATCTCGGACATTTTTCGAGACATACTGGAATCGTTGAGCAACTTTTTATTGCGTAATAACAATCGAATTTCACTTGGCTACACAGAAGCCGATCTGTTCTAAGAGACACATGGACAAAGTCTCAAAACTATTAGCGGACCACCTAACCAATTTACACATTGGTCACCAGATGAACAAACATGGCCTTTCAATAGATAGATAAGAGGCCACAACCGATCGTACTGACTGCCTAACACAGCAAAAGGAAACATCTTTTACAATGCAGCTCAAGGCAAAGCGAACTATTACCCAGCAGGCGACATTTTCAGGTATTCGATCATGTAGCATCGTCTGGATCCGAAGGAGGTTCGGCATGTGGAGGAGCACCATTAGAGAGCAACTTCTGTACCATGGATCTTGTCATGCCCAATTCTCTCGCCCCCTCCGCATCGCCGAACAACTGTTTCCGATAAATCCGATGCAATCGCCCAGACAGCTCATTCTGTATCGTCTTGAATGCCATGTCCAACCTGTTCAGCTGCTCCATCGCGTTATCATTATACAGGAACAATCCATAGTACAAATCAAAGCTATCCCGGGACGTGTTCTCCACCAAATCCAACAGGGTCTCGTACCCTTTGATATTGATCGGCGACGACTCCAATCCCAACTTCTCCAACACCCTTCCCACAGTGTGGGTCAAGAACTGCGACCCGGCCGCGTACCGATCATGCTCGGCACAGCTCATCTCCACCATCCTACAACCCTCCCGAGCAAAGATATCCAAGAACTTGTCGCACCTATCGACCCTCGATTCATCGTCCCCAATCCTAACCTTGTCGTACACGAAGCTAAGCCCCGCCCACGAATGCTTACCGCTCTCGGGCCCAAACATGGGATGCGTGCACAGGATGTCGAACTCGGCAGGCAGATATCTCAGCAAGAGGTCGCGAGGGAACTCCTTTACCGAGAGGACGTCGACGAAAAGGGTGCTCCTTTTGAGCCTCTGGAACGGGATGGAGCGAAGGACGAGCTCGGTGGAGAGGATGGAGGTGGAGAGGAGGACGACCTCGGGGTGCTGCTCGCAGAGGTCGTGCGGGTCGCCGTAGAAGGCGACGCCGAGCTCGGAGGCGACGGAGGAGTAGTCGGAGCGGGAGTGGGCGAGGATGGTGTGGCCCTGGGAGACGAAGGTCTTGGCGAGGAACTGGCCGAAGTTGCCGAACCCGAGGATGGCGATCTTCAGGGTCGGGGAGGACCGGCGGAAGTGGGATCGGAGCTGGGCCTCGTAGTCGAAGGGCTGGGCGGCGTCGAGGGACCGGACGCGGAGGGGCTGCCTGCGGCGGAGGAGACTGGGCGGCGGCGGCGGAGAGGAGAGGGAGCGGAGGAGCGGGGGCATGTGGGAGGAAAATGGCAGCATTCTCTGTTGTCTGCGTCTGTGTGAGAGAGAGAGGACTGAAAGATTGCCGATCATTTCGGCAAAACTTCGTAAAAGTTTTAAGGAAAGGAAAAAATTCTTTCACTCGCTCGAACAGACACACCCCCTTAATTTACATTACTTAATGAAATCGATTTTTATAAACCAATCTTATTGTATCAGTGTTAGCGTTGCTCTTTGTTGTGTTCAAACGGAAGCGTGGAGGGCGACAGAATCAAGACGCGAAACAGAGTGGAAGAAGAAAAATCAACACGAGGGTTTTTACGTGATTCAGTCCGAGTCTCGAGACGGAAAGAGCTAGGAAATAATCCACCATCAAATCGGAAGAGTATTGCAAAGTTCACAATCACTCGTGCTCAAGTGTTTTCCAGTCCTATAATTACACCCGAAACCTACCGTGTTTAGCCTCTCATAAAACACTCAAAATGGATGTCAATATATAGAACGCACACAGGGATCTTCAGGAGAGCACCTTCTTGCTCTCACTTCCCATGCGACCTACAGCTCTCAGCTCCTTCTGATGAGAGCTTCTCTTTCTCCTCTCTCTCCTTGAGCTCTCTGGCTTTTCTCTCTCGCCTCCAAGGACTTGGCCCTCTCCTTCGTTGGACACCTCTCTGTATTATAAGAGAAAGAACAAGAGCAGAAGAGTTGCCAAAAGACAAATCAAGCCGCAACTTCGGCGCCCACAAGACCAATCTCTAAAGCAGTAGCGATGCATGCACGGTCGTAATGAGGCGCAGGAAGAGTGGTCGTGAGAGACATGTACATGGGCTCTTCAACTTTCCTCCTCCTTTTCCAAGAGCTCTTCATTAAATGCGGACCTGTTCTTTCCTTTTGTCAAAGAAAACAAATGCAGCCCTCACTTTATTACTTTTGCCAATTCTTCTTACGTCTACTTTGAAGGAGCTTTCGTGTATGGTCAAGGAAGAATTCACGTTGGCCATGGAAGGAGCTGGATAATTCTTCGTCTGCATTTGAAGATTAAATGCAGAACACATTTCATTAAATGTTCCGGGGATGTGCTTCTTCCCTTCAACGAAAATGCCATGCATGCGAGTTGGGTATCATATACTGGCTCAAACTCAAGATAAAATTTAACAATTTTCCACCTTGGCTCGACGTTTGTAACCAAGTCATAGTGCTAATTATTCATGTCGGCTCTCCAAGCGCCTCGACAGGTGCTTATACTCTACAAACGTCAATCGAGCTCAAGCAAAGCTCGGGCTTCGCCAAAGGAAGAGACTCCATCTCTTTATTCATCGCAACAAATCACTTCTCAGATTTAGAACAAATTATGGCTCCACGGAATGTAGAAGATTCTTGACTACCAAGCTCTTCAGTGACTGTAAGAGCATATGCTACAAAATCAGAGTAACCATATCTTTAAGGAGGCTTAATTTGTCGTTTAGCCCTCCCTGAGGCCAAGGTCTGAGGCTGCTTAACTTCTTCTACATTATCCGAGTCTTGTTGCTCACTGTCATTTTCTGGCTAAATACGAACATCTTCAAATGTTCTTCATGGAGGGTCCACACGAAACTCCACCTTTTTCACAGCATTCTCCTCCTGCATACCTGTAGACTCATCAACAACCTTTCTCTGATCAAGCATGAAATTTTCATCAAAGGTAACTTCCCTACTGATTATAAATTTTGGTGACTGAGGGTCAAAACACCACAACCTATATCCCTTAACCCTGTCTGTATAGCCAACAAAAATACATTTCTTGGCCCTAGATTCAAGCTTACCATCTTTTACATGATAATAAGCGAGACAACCAAATACTTTCAAAACTGAATAATCAGAAGGTTTACTTGACCATACCTCATTTGGAGTCTTACAATCAATTGTAGTTGAAGGAGAACGATTTACCAAATAATACACCGTGTTCATGGCTTCAACCCAGAAATCTTTCCCAAGTCCAACATTGGAGAGTATACACCTAGCTCTCTCCAAGAGTGTTCGGTTCATGCGCTCCACCACCCCATTATGTTGAGGTGTGTGCCTGACTGTTTGATGTCGAACAATCCCTGAATCTTCACGGTACTTGTTGAAATCACCTCCGCAAAACTCAAGACCATTGTCTGTTCTGAGATGCTTGATCTTCTTCCCGGTTTGATTTTCAATCAACACCTTCCACTGCTTGAAGGTATCAAAAATTTCACTCTTACGCTTCAAGAAATAAACTCGGACTTTCCTAGAAAAGTCATCAATAAAAGTTAGAAGATAAACTGTACCACCTTTAGATCTAACCTATGTAGGTCCCCATAAATCAGAGTGAATGTAATCAACTGTGCCCTTCATTGAGTGCACTCCGGTACTGACACTAAGTCTGCGCTGCTTCCCGAAAACACAATGCTCGCAAAAATCAAGTGGGACTATATGCTCCCCATAGAGTAAATCACGTTTACTCAAGATATTCATTCCTCTTTCGCTCATGTGGCCCAACCGTATATGCCACAACCCGAATTTCTCAGAATCTGAAGAGGATGATACAGTTGAAGAACCCACGACGATACTTCCATGCAAAACGTAGAGGTTATTCTTTTTGTTACCTCTCATCACGATCAAGGAGCTCTTTGAAACTTTCAAAGCTCCACCTCCACCGATCTACATGCATCCAGTAGAATCCAAACTGCTCAACGAAATAAGGTTCTTCTTCAAGTCTGGGATATGCCTGACGTTTGTTAGAGTTCTTACTATGTTGTCATGACATTTGATCCGCACCGTACCAATACCCACAATCCTGCAAACTGCATTATTGCCCATCAAAACTGAACAACCACTGATTTTTTCATATTTGTGGAACCAACCTCTATTTAGACACATGTGGTATGAACCTGCCGAATCCAAAATCCATTCGTCATCAACACCACAATCAAGAGACGAAACAGTAAGAACATTTTCAGCATTAGCTGACTCGATACTCTTCAGCATTAACTAAGCCATCGGCTCTATCACACTATCACTCGCATTCAATTTTGTAAGCATCTCAGCGGAATTCAACAAGGCCTTCACATCCTCAAGAGTTATGGATTCTCTTCCATACAACATAGAATTTACAAAATTTTCATACGAGCTCGGTAGTGAGCATAACACAATTAGGGCTTGCTCTTCATCATCTAACTCTAAATCTATATTTCTCATATCCATTACAATCTTATTAAATTCATCTAGATGTTCTTGGATAGAAATACCTTTTTGCATCTTTAGCGTGTAAAGACGCTGCTTCAAGAATAATCTCGTTATAAGAGATTTCTTCATGTAGAGACTCTCGTGCTTCTTCCACAATCCCAAAGCCGTTTCTTCATCGGCTACCTCACAAAGCACCTTGTCGGACAACGACAATTGGATGGTGCTGTGCGGACTCTCTTCCATCTCCTCAATCTCAACCATAGTCATGTCGTCGGGGTACTTGCCGTCCAAGGCTTTAACTGAACCTTCCCGACGCAACAACGCCTTAATCTTGATCCTCCATAGCTCGAAATTGTTTTGGCCATTGAAGGATGCAACTTCAAACTTGATAGATGTCTATTTTTTTTTTTTTTTATAACCGAGGTGTCCGCGCGGCCGGCGAGCTAGGGCTCAAACCAGCGGTGATGCCCGACTAGTCCTCGAGGGGGGCTAGCGCAGCATCCCACCGCCACGACCCCCCACTTAAATCACCGATGGGCGAGTTTGAACCCAGGACCTCTCGTGAAAGGAACTGAGCGCAAACCAACGCGGCTATCGATGGGTGGGTCAAACTTGATAGATGTCATCTTGAACAAAAGACCGAAATTCCTATAGCTCATAGCTCCTAGAATCTCAATCTAGCTCTGATACCAGTTTGTTGTGTTTAAACGGAAGCGTGGAGGGCGACGGAATCAGGTCGCGAAACAGTGGAAGAAGAAAAATCAACACGAGGATTTTTACGTGGTTCGGTCTGAATCTCAGAACCTACGTCCACAGAGAGAGCTAGCAAATAATCCACTATCAAATTGGAGGAGAATTAAGGTGTTCACAATCACTTGCGCTCAAGTGTTTCCCGATCCTATAATTACACCCGAAACCCACAGTGTTTAACCTCTCGTAAAACACTTAAAATGGATGTCAATATAGAGAACGAACACAGGGATCTTCAAGAGAGCACCCTCAAAATGTAATGTTATTCTGTTAAAGAAGATTTTGTCGACGGCCCTACCGTATTGGGTGACGGATGCAATTTTGACCCCAATCGATCCACTAACTAAAACAATTCTAGGATCGAGAACATTGACATTCTCTCCTGCAAGAAAATTTACCTCCGGAATTTTACCCCAAGCGGTGAAAACTTGAGAATACAAGGTAGCCTCTGATGATGCAAGGACTCTGAGGACTTTGATGATCAAGATCATTGCCATTCGCCCAGCATAAATGTGCACCCTTTTCATCTCATGGCATCCAATCTCTCAATGCCTCAGCTCCTCGAGAAATGAAGTGTGCGTCGCCATCATCGCCTGGACGGATGCCAGGCGGAGAACAATACTAATAGTCATGACTGGCGAAAACGGAAAGAAGAAAGGCTGTCCAAGCAAATGCTCCACTGGTCCTGCACTGTCCCACTAGAAGAAAAGTGGTCCTGCTCATGCTTCTTTTACTTCGTTGCACAGATATTTCCCTCAAATCTTCCTCTGGTGCGAGGTGATCTCAGTACAGAAGGAGAGACGAACATACACTCAAAACATTCGAAGAACATAACAATTCCAAACATAACCATCATAACAAGTAGACACTTCAAGTTATAACATGGACGTCAAAACCAAGATTTAAAGAACACCACAAAGATCATCAACTGAAAAATGAACCCCTAGTGCATGGAAAAAGGCATCGATATGGGAAAACATAAAAAATACACTACAAGTGAAGAATCCGCCAATCCATGAATCAAAAATTGCCAGTTTAAACCTTAAAACTCACGTTGAGATTCGCATGTCAATATAAATTC